CTCTCCTCCAGGAGATAAAGCTACAGGAGGTGCTTCCATTTTGGTGCGGCAGGGTGTCATACATAGCCCTGTCCCACTTGCGACGAATCTTCAAACTATAGCTGTTCGTCTTACTCTGCACATTGCATTGACTCTGTGCAGTTTGTATATACCTCCGTCGTCTAATCTTCGAAAATCAGATCTTCAGAATCTGTACGATCAGCTTCCAAAGCCATGCATTATCATGGGCGATCTGAACGGACACAACCCGCTTTGGGGAAGTGTCCATACTAATAATAAAGGTAAAATCATCGAGGAATTCATTTCTGACAATAATTTATGTATCTGCAATGACGATTCAGCCACTTATTTACATCCAGCTACGGGAACATATTCTTCCCTGGATCTATCACTTGTTGACTCCATTTATATAATGAATTTGAATGGATGGTCCATGATGACCTATGTGGGAGTGATCACTTCCCCACCATTCTCAAAACACTAAGCCCTGGAGATGATCCACCTTTATCCAGAAGGAACTTTGCCAGGGCTGATTGGTCATTATATAAAACACTATGTAATGATCACTTAAAACATGATGTTTTTGCGAACAGCGAAGATCCTATACAGTTGTTTTCCGATATACTAAATGACATTGCTGATCAAAGTATACCCAAGTCCTCTGCAATTCCACATATTCGTAAACCATGGTTTAATAATGACTGTAAACTGGCCAGAAAAAGTAGGAAGAAAGCAGAAAAATATTTTTCGCCGACATCCTACAGTCCATAATTTAGATAAAGTTAAAATTTTAAATGCCAAGGTTCGACGCGCATTTAAGCAGAATAAGCGTCAGTCGTGGAGGAAGTATGTTTCCAAGATAAATTCCCGTACACCAATTTCGAAGGTATGGAACATGATCCAAAGAATAAAGGGCAAAGGTTCCAAATCTACTGTTCATCATCTGAAGGATGGTGACAATATATTAACTGGTAAGTCTGACATTGCCAATAAGCTTGGTGAAACACTCGCCAAACATTCTTCTTCGTCAAATTACGTCCCAGAATTTCAACAATACCAGAAACAACAGGAGAAGAAGAGAATATATTTTAACTCAGACAATGGCGAAGATTATAATGAATTATTTTCATTACATGAGCTCCATACTGCCCTTGAGCAAGCTCATGACACAGCAACAGGAGCTGATAATATACACTATCAGCTCTTGAAGCATTTACCAGAATCATGTTTGGAAACACTTCTAACTCTTTTTGATACAATATGGACTTCAGGGAATTTCCCAACTTCGTGGCGTAATGCTATTGTAGTCCCTATTCCAAAACCTGGTCGGGATCATACTGATCCGTCAAATTATAGAGCAATCTCTCTAACGAGTTGTGTCTGTAAAACCATGGAACGAATGGTAAACAATAGGTTAACATGCTATCTTGAAACCAATAACCTGATAACAAATATTCAATGTGGTTTCAAGAAAAATCGTAGTACCGTTGATCATTTGGTACGTTTAGAATCCTTTGTCAAAATAGGATAGTAAATAAACAACATGCAGTATCGATATTCTTTGATCTCGAGAACGCATACGATACCACCTGGAAGCATGGCATTTTAAAAGATTTACATGACTTTGGATTACGAGGCCGTTTGCCTCAATTTATATAACAGTTTTTAACAGACAGGCACTTTCAAGTCCGAGTGGGTTCAACCCTGTCTGATCATTATAATCAGGATCAGGGTGTCCCACAAGGCAGTATTTTGTCTGTCACTTTATTTAGCATTAAGATCAACAGCTGATCTAAGGTTTTAAATGATTCAATTGATGGATCACTTTTTGTGGATGATTTTAATATTTCTTGTCGCGGTAAGAATATGCATACTATTGAACGGCAACTACAGTTGTGTTTAAATAAAATACATAAATGGTGTCTTGAAAACGGCTTTAAGTTTTCTAAATCAAAAACTAATTGCATACATTTCTGCCGTAAATATAAACCACATAAAGACCCAGAACTGTTTTTAAATGGCACTCCCATCAAGGTTGTAAAAGAGGCCAAGTTCTTAGGTCTGATTTTTGACTCCCATTTAACCTTTCTTCCGCATATAAAATCCCTGAAAACTAAATGCCTGAAAGCACTCGATTTATTGAAAGTCGTTTCTAATTCAAAGTGGGGAGGGGACCAAACTACCCTCCTACACCTATAGATCACTGGTCCGCTCGAAGCTTGATTATGGCTCCATTGTATATGGTGGAGCCTGTAAAAGCAACCTAAAACTATTAGATTCTGTCCACCACCAAGGTCTGAGACTTTGTCTTGGGTCATTCAGAACATCTCCTGTTGACAGTCTCTACGTCGAGGCAGATGAACCATCTCTTACTTAACGCCGTTTATAATTATCATTACAATATATTACCAAACTATATTCTAACGAGTCTAATCCTGCATTTCACTGCATCTTTAATCCTCTTTATGAGGATTTGTACAACAAGAAATCTTCTCCTGTTCCGCCTCTTGGGCTCAGGATTAAGCCATTCATTACTGCTGCCGGCATTGAGCTGGAAAATATATCTCCTTCACGTCGTCTTTCTCCTCCTCCTTGGCAACTGGTTAGGCCACAAGTCGACCTAACACTCACTAAATTTAAAAAATCAGAAACTAATGACTTACTATATAAACAAGAATATAATCAATTAAAAAGTAAATATAATACATATAAATCCTTATTTACAGATGGGTCCAAGGATGGGGGCGCGGTTGCTTGTGCCACTGTCATTGGGTCCAAAACAATATCTTCCAGATTACCCAATGACAGTTCAATTTTCACAGCAGAAGCAAACGCAATACTAACAGCTCTTAAATATATAAAAAGACACCCAAATATACACAATATTATATAATATTTACAGACTCTCTTTCTTGCCTTCAGGCGCTTAAAAGTCTTTCTTGTAAACATCCACTTTTAATAGAAATTATAGAATTATATAATGGTCTTGCAACTGGCCAATACGACATCGTCCTCTGTTGGTTACCCAGCCACGTTGGCATTTCTGGGAATACCATGGCCGATTTTGCTGCCAAGGCAGCACTCAACAAATCTGTCACGCCACTTCTGATCCCATACTCTGATTACAAAGCAAGCATTAGAACTTACATCCGTGATCTGATGCAAAAGAAGTGGGATGCCCGAGTAGGTATCAATAAATTACATGCAATAAAACTAACTCTAGGTTACACCTACTTGGGTTGTCAGTCCAGATTTGAAGAGGTCATCATATGACGATGTCGTATTGGCCACACAAGATATACTCATGAGTACCTATTGAAAGGTTAGGACCCTCCGTTTTGTATCCCTTGTGATGAGAGAACCACGGTCAAGCATGTCCTGCTTGACTGTGTTGAATTCTCCATCATAAGGGATAGATATTATAATGTCAAAACAGTAAAGGACCTTTTTAGTAATGTTAATTATCATTTAATCATTGATTTTTTAAAAGAGATAGACTTGTTAAATGAATTTTGATATATGTTTTGTAAATAGATGAGGTTTTATAATTGGTAGTTCAGATTTTCAACTTAGTTTGGTAGTGGCTGTATCCTCAAAGGGGGTTGAAGTAGCGTAAAATTATTGTCCTCCAGTGAGGGTACGCAAGTCCCAAAAACTTTCAAAGTAAATTTAGGCTTGCCACGTTTTTAATCGTAGAATATGTGTGCTTTTAATTTATGGCTAGATTTCTCTTCTGTCGCCAATTGCTGAAGGGGTGGTGTAAATCCAACTAGGGTCCATGCAGGTAGCAAAAGTGATATAAGTCCCCATGGTCCCTTGTATGGTGACCATTTTTATACTGTATTGTTTTTCCCCTATAGTTAAAACGTTTTAGATTTAATTACTAGTTTTACATACATATCTGTGATATTCTAGTTGTTTTACTGTCCTTCGTCGGCAGGTTTTTTATAATATACATATATTTCATTTCAATATCAAAAGTTCTCGTCACGATATGGCTGAAATATTGCCGATGTGACGTTTAATATTAACTCACTCACTGACTCACACATTGTACCCACAACTGCAAATGTGTTTAAATATAATTAATGAAAGGTGTTTAGAATATGAATTCAAATTTTCAAAATCTAAAACTAACCGTCTTAACTTGTCTTGAAAATAGAAACCTGACGAGGACAAGGATTTATTTTTAGATGGTAACCCTGCCAAAGCAGCACTCAACAAGTTTGTAACACCCCTTCCTATCCCATACAGTTATTGTAAATGTGTCATTAGATGCTATGGTCGGGATGTCGTGCTAATGAAGAGGGACACTTTAGTAGTATTTGTTATACCTACTTGGGTTGTCAGTCTAGATTTGGGCAGGTCATTCTACGGCTATGTCGTATTGTCCATTCACGATATACACATCGAAAACTTATTAAAAGGTTGTGATCCTCCATTTTTGTTAATTAATGAATCAGGGTCAAGCATGATAAATAGTTCAATGTGAAAACGCCCAAGGATCTGTTTAATAATTTGAATTCTCATTAATCAATTGATTTTGAAAAACTGTAATAAATATATTGCTTTGTAAACGGATACCATTATTTTATAATTTCACCAACTAACTTTATGTCACACATGTTCTACGTTTGTTTTTAGGAGGACTCGGTGATCATAGGCAGTCACAGGGAAACAATTATCAAGCAGTACAGCTACACACTGCTGTATTTTCAAACATACTAGAAGCCAGTTCCAAAATCAAGCAGTACAGCTACACTCTACTGTATTTTCAAACTTACTGGAAGCCAGTTCCTCAGAAAACGTCCTGTATGTGATATAGAAACTCTACCGTCGGAACCATCAGTATGTTTCAATGGCATATGTTTGGTGTTCTGGTTTGTTGCACAAGCGCAGTCGTTAGCGGCGATAGCATAGCAGAAACCAGAGGAGCATCGCTTCTGGAATCCCTTGCTTCATGCAATATATCCCACAACTGCAATATAACAGAAGGTGGTATGGTATGCCATCTCACCAAAATCTTTCAAGGACAACTGACCCAGTACCGTTTGAATTCCCATGGAGAAATTCTATTCCAGCTGATGACAGGTACAGAAGGTGGGACTGAACAAAAGGCGATTGAGACAAAAGATACACATGATGGGACTGAACAAAAGGCGACTGAGACAAAAGGTACAGAAGGTGGGACTGAACAAAAGGCGACTGAGACAAAAGGTACAGAAGGTGGGACTGAACAAAAGGCAATTCAGACAAAAGATATAGAAGGTGGGACTGAACCAAGGGGGATTGAGACAAAAGGTACAGAAGGTGGGAATGAACAAAGGGCAATTCAGACAAAAGGTACGGAAGGTGGGAGTGAACAAAAGCCAATTGAGACAGAAGGTGGAACTGAACAAAAGGCCACTGAGACAAAAGATATAGAAGGTGGGACTGAACAAAAGGCAATTCAGACAAAAGGTATAGAAGGTGGGACTGAACAAAGGGCAATTCAGACAAAAGCTACAGAAGGTGGGACTGAACAAAAGGCGATTGAGACAAAAGGTGGAGAAGGTGGGAGTGACCAAAAGGCGATTGAAACAAAAGGTGGGAGTGACCAAAAGGCAATTCAGACAAAAGATGGAGAAGGCGGGACAGAACAAAAGGTGATTGAGACAAAAGGTGGAGAAGGTGGGAGTGACCAAAAGGCAATTCAGACAAAATATGGAGAAGATGGGACTGAACAAAAGGCAATCGAGACAAAAGGTGGAGAAGATGGGACTGAACAAAAGGGGATTGAGACAAAAGGTGCAGAAGGTGGGACTGAACAAAAGGCAATTGAGACAAAAGGTGCAGAAGGTGGGACTGAACACAAGGCAATTGAGACAGAAGGTGGGACTGAACAAAAGGCGACTGAGACAAAAGGTGGAGAAGGTGGGAGTGACCAAAAGGCAATTCAGACAAGAGATGGAGAAGGCGGGACTGAACAAAAGGCGAATGAGACAAAAGGTACAGAAGGTGGGACTGATCAAAAGGCGATTGAGACAAAAGGTGGAGAAGTGGGAGTGACCAAAAGGCAATTCAGACAAAAGATGGAGAAGGCGGGACTGAACAAAAGGTGATTGAGACAAAAGGTGGAGAAGGTGGGACTGATCAAAAGGTGATTCAGACAAAATATGGAGAAGGTGGGACTGAACAAAAGGCAATTCAGACAAAAGATGGAGAAGGCGGGACTGAACAAAAGGCTCCTGAGACAAAAGGCGGAGAAGATGGGACTGAACAAAAGACAATTCAGACAAAAGATGGAGAAGGTGGGACTGAACAAAAGGCGATTGATACAAAAGATGGAGAAGATGGGACTGAACAGAAGGCGATTGAGACAAAAACATTGTGTCAAATGGCAGGTTATGGAAACGTGTTCAGACATGAAACTCCTCATCTGTTTGTGTATAAGGTGAAGGGGCATGAAACAAATGTATTCTTCTATGAAACACATAACCTGAAAAACATGCATAGAGTAAAGTTAGATTTTGAGGGGACAATCCAATTTCTTTATCCCGACATGGACCGATGTACCTTCTTCTGGATGTATAGAACGCCCAAGAAAGACATATACAGTTCAGTGCGTTTTGATGGCAAGGACAGAAAGAGGATATTTGAAGGGAGTGCATGTTGTGTATTCTATGATCATCTTCGACAGCTTCACTTCATTTGGACTCTCCGTGAAAGATTTTATGTTCTCATGGTTTTCAATGACACACTCTATATCAACGATATTTTCAAAACTCAAAATTTTCCTGACTGCAGGTGTTCTTCAGCCCATGCCGCTTCCCAAACGTTGATCGTGTGTACTAGAGAGCACCCCAAAAAGAAAACGGATTTCAAATTGTATGCACTGAATTACACAGTCCTGTACAAAAGAATGCCTAAAAGGGTGTTCAAGGTTCGCACTGCGTCTCTCTTCGCTGCTCTCATCTCTCCCAATAAGCTTGCCGCCTGGCATGTGAAAAAAAACACTGCCCATCTAGTAGATATAGCAAACAAAGAAATAAGTTACATCGTCAAGTGTCCATTTACATCACGTAAAAGCTCTCGTGTAGGGTATTGGGACGGCCAAATTTATATTAAGTGTACTAATCGTAAGTACTCTTATTTCTATTTTGCCACGGAGGAAGGGGTGCAGACAATGCACATCAAAACAGGGCTGGGCGCGAGGTTGGTAGGTGGACTAGCGTGAAGGCTGCGCCACTATACGTATATTTGTTTGTTGTTTTACGCCGCACTCAGCAATATTCGTGCTATATGATGGCGGTCTGTAAATAATCGAGTCCAGTGATCAGCTTCATGAGCCATGATCTACCCCGCCATAATCAGCAATATTCGTGCTATATGATGGCGGTCTGTAAATAATCGAGTCCAGTGATCAACAGCATGAGCCATGATCTACCCCACTGTGATACGATGACATGTGTCAACCTAGTCAGCGAGCCGTATCACACGATCCAGTTAGTCGGCTCTTACGACAAGCATTGGTTGCTGAAGACCAAGTCTAACCTGGATCGTCACGGGTCCAGGGTACTGTATACGTAAGCCACCCATATAATGAAGCACTGAGTCGAGGTTAATGCATGTTAGCACAGTATTTTGGTGATGCTGCTCTGAGAGAATTTCTTTGATGAATTCAATGATACTGCTATGATACTGACAAACTTCGGGGCAATAACAGTGAGTGCCGAAATAAATTCCTGTGTGTGTTCATTTTGGCATCTTAGAAAATAAATAGAGTTCGCTCTACCCCATGTTTGGTGTAAGTGTAATAACATACCTTTGGCCCTGAACCATTATGGCGTTAAAGCACTCGGACGCAAGCGTCCTCGCACTTTAAAGGAGAATACGAACGAAAACAAAACTTTGATATATAGTAAAGGATATTCTAAAAGTCACATTCCGTGATTAAAATTGAACAAAATGTTTGTAAAATAGCAATAAAAACACAAAAACGTACTCGTATTTCCACCTCTTACGGAAACACCCGACAGTTAATGAGCAGATGGGGTATCACGTGACATGACGTCACAAGTGCCTGTTGCTGATGGCTTCCTCTTTGATTTTACCTCACAACTTAACAGTGTCAGTGGATTCTGAAGCAGTAAAAGATGTTCCTGGTGTCATATCTGAAATGGATGTTAGACCGTATCAATACGATCCGATTTTACTTCTTGCAAGACAATCTTCCACTGAAGATGAAGAAGAAGAATCAAGCGAAAAGGAGGCACCGCTTGAGGTCAAAATAAATTTTAAAATAGATCATATCATTTAACAAGATTACTATTTGTCAGCAAAATGTCATACAGTTCCAGCCAGCAAACTCACCCCTATAAATATATGACCAGTCACTAAGAATTAATAACGTATCAAGTCTGGATACAAGGTCCCAGCCTGGTCGAGCAAAGATAATATTCACGACGCAGATAAGTTATTCCCCGAAAACTGGTGAACTGTAAAATACTAGTCAGGACAACGTATGTTTCCCAATTGTTTGGTTATGGAAATAGTTATGGTACTCGGTCATAGCCTTAGAATGACATCCTGTCAGCCAATGAGAATACAGAACAACTTTCACGGCACACACTACTGACAAATAGCGAGTCTGATGCCGACGTGCGTAATTGGACAAAATGGAAAACAATGAAAGCAACAAGTACTTCATGATTTGCCGTTGTATTCGGCAATTTTTATGCATATTTTTTGTGAACTTATTATGATATTATGTTCTTCATATAAAAGTTATTAGGGAGTAATATTTCTGATAAAGGTTTCATTAGTAAACTCATAACTATGTATATACTTATATATGAAGAACATAATATCAAAGTTGACAAAACTATGCATTTATGGCCTATATTTATTCATTTTAAATAAATTGGGGCGTTTTGACTACCGCACTGGGCAAATTGACCAAATGTGCTGGGTCATTTTGTAGCGGGGGCAATTCGACTGGCAATTGGACTTGATTTAATCTATGTTAAAACTACCACTGACAGTAAGTTGTTACAGGGAATGATGAATTTTTCCTTCTTCAGCCTAGCTTGGGGATTTCCATACCCCATGCTTGCATGTCTTTTTCATAAGCGTCCGACTCGGAATGATCGGCGCATTTCTTCTGCCGAAATCTGTCATTGCACTTGGAAAACAGAAGAAATGGTGGTTCTTTCCCATGTTCGACGATGCCGTGCATCCCCAGGCAACGCAACACACCATCGTACCATTTAAAAAAACGACAGAAACAACACGATTTGTAGCGCTTGGTCTTTGGCAATATGGCGGACTCCAGCTGATATTTACAGAAATTGTTTTCGCGATTAAAACATAATTATACATAATTTTTAATTGAATATTTGGGAATATGTTTCCGATGACTTTATCTTTCACCCAGCAAATTATTGCAATTCACTCGTTTTCTCCTTTAACTATAATAGTTCAGGGCAAAGGTGTACTGTATTACACAATACATGGTGGTAGAGCGAACTGTATTTCTTAATTATCGTTTGATGCACCTGTATTGTAGACAAAGAATTATCAGCACGCAGACCTTAACATACACGACTGCATTCGAGTTATCCGATGTTCGTTGTAGTTGCATGCATACATGGAACATGATCTCGTCTACTGATGATGTTGTCCACTGTGTTATGAATGTAGTGCCTGTCAAATAAAATGTTCCTGATTATGCCAACTGTTATGATATTTATTTCAACATGATCAAAACTATGACACCAACTGAGCCAGGTCACCGCTCCTGACAACACGATCTCCATTAGGCTTTGGATACAGAAATGTAAACTAATCTGGAAACATTACCGGGTGGTTTCCAATTAATCAATCATTTATTCTCCAATAATCACGGTTGGTGCTACAAGAGCGAATACAAATATTTTATATACCAAACAAATGTAAAGATAAATAATAATATATAGAATATATGTATACAAAAACATAATAAAAGATGGCTGTATCTAGTCTCAGTTTATGTTTCTTATAAGGGCTGATACTCTTGATACAAATTTTGAAAAATTGATAATTTCGTTAGTGTCATTAGTTGTGAATAATTTAACAAAAATTTGCAGACTTGGATATTTGGTTTTGGGGGATGATAAATACATTTTCCTAGCATCACAGAGATTTTGACATTCAAAAATATAATGAAATTCATCAGCAATAGATGCAGATTGACAGAGTTTACAAGTTCTATCAATGCGTGGTATGTTCTCCCAGCGGCCAGTTGCCATTGGTAGATTGCGATTAGATGTAATAAATCTTAGTAATGGAATTGATATTCGCTTTGGGAAATATAGGTATGTGTCAAATAGTGGATGCCGTTTAAGGTATTGATAATAAAATCCTTTTGGGCTTGAAGCAACATAATTGCTCCACTTTTGAATATATTGGTCCAGGACCTTAAAGGTCACATGCAACGTAAAACACAACTTTGCAGATTTTGATACCTTTCGGTATGGACTTACCGAAACAAATCATCAAAAATGCAAATTCAACTTATAAAGTTGAAAAATAACGCGATGAAAAAAAACGCGCGAAATCGGAGTTCAAACGATTCACTAATTTTCCCCCGACTTTTCGGGGGAAAACTGGTTTCAACAGCTGGGCTGAGCTCATAGCACGTGCGCAGTGAAATAGGTTCTCGCAACTTGGAAGCGGGCTGTCCGGTGAATACTCGGTGAAAGCTTTGGTGTGAGCTATTATCCTAGTGTTTTGTTGATATCTCACAGGAGCGAGCTTTTTATATGTTATGACAGTAAATAAACTGTTTATATAATTTCATTTGTCTATTTCACCACACGTTTTCTTACCGAGTCACTTTCTCAGTTCGATACTTAAAAGCAATGTCATTATTTAGCGTTGACAGAATCTCTAACTGTGATATAGATATGTCGTTGTCACAGACAAAACTCAATGTCTTGTTTTATTGACACCTGTGTGTCTGCCTGCCTGCCTGCTAATGACAATATTCAATACACAACTTCGATCACTGACCACATGCAATTTGAACTTAACACCAATCAGGCTATACACCATAAACAAAACGCATTGATTTATGGCCCGA